TATTTATATGGGTATGTTATATTATATGTGGGGGGCTTGTTTTCCATCATCGCAACCAGGGCACTGGTTTTCCATCGTCACAAGCAGGGAGCGCTGGGCAGCGCTGCTGGCCGKGGGTGCGGGCAGGTGGGCGGCGAGCGGAGATGGCGCCGTGGGACGTGGCAGGAACTGGGGCCCCGCTGTCCCGTCCCATCCCACCCCATCCTGTCCCGTCCCATCYCGCCGCCTCGTGCTCCGCAGGCTGAGGTGCTCCCTGCTTCACCAGGCAGYGGAGCCCGGTGCCATGGGTGCCCTCGCGTGCCCATCGCAGCCTGCGCGGGGCTGGGATGCAGCCACCTAAGGGCACCGCTCAAGCCGAGTCAGAAGCTGCTTTTCCCTCCTGACTTTCCTTCCCCTTGGGCCTTGCCAGCCCCCAGGCTGGAGTTTGGCCAACAGCCCCGTCCTGGGCGCTCCAGGGYGTCTAGCCGTGCCCTAGACTTCAGCGAACGCTGTCCGCGAGGGCACGCAATCCCGTGGAGACAGAGCCGAGCTTTCTGGGAGGAGGTGGATCGGTTGGAAGGCGGCAAGGAAGGCCAGGGATGAGCAAGCTGGGAGCTTCCCGGGATGTGCCGAGCTGGGGCCGCAGCCACTCGGCGCCTTGCCCGGAAGCGCAGCCGCTGCACACGTGGAATTCGGGGATTCAGGCCCGGGGGCTGCCAGCTCGCGCAGCCGGGAGGAACAGCAAAGCTGGCGGGAAGTGAAAGAAGGGGCTGTAAAATGCAAGGCTGTTTCTGAAGCTAATCTTAAATCCCATTTTTTTTTTAACTCAGCATTGACTCTGCCTTACTTTAAACTAGCAAGTTTTGTGGTTGCTTTCTTTCTTTCATTTTTTTTTGCCTATTTTTTCAGGCATTGTTACGAGCCGTAGGAAGGTAGGAATTGCAATGCAGAGTGTACAGGACATAGGATTATCAGGCTCAGATACAGGAGCATTAGGAGTAGATGGAGTTTTCTGTGTTCTTGCAGACAAACCTTGGGGACATGCTCCGTGCTCTAGGAGGAGGGTGCAGGGTGTGCCTTTATGAACAGCTGACTCCAAAGGGGAGAAGAGAAACTTTCTCTCTTKGCTGGGCGTTGGTGCTGCCTTTGCAGAGGATGCCCCGGAGGAAGGGCTGGCGGAGGCAGGGGCGGGCGCTGCTGCCGGCTGCTACGTGGAGCTCCCGTCGCCCCTTCCATGCGCGGAGCCGCCGGCAGGAGTGCGCGGAGCCGCCGGCAGGAGCGTTGCATAAACTGCTCTGCTTTACACATCAGCAGGAGGAGGGGAAAGGAAATGATGTGGAGATGCAGCCTTTGCAATGCGCCTTTCAGAGGAGCCGGGGTATTTGGTGGTTCAATATGGAACAGTGTGACTGCATTGCAAGGACTTGGCCCTTAGTATAAAATACTACAAAAGTATTTTTATGTCCTGTTCAGGATATTAAACCTTTCCAGGGCTAAGGTTTCACAAGTTCCCAGCCACAAACAGGAAAGTAGCACATAGGTGCGCACACAAATTCACTTTGTAGTGAATATCACCTATCACTTCAGACCTGTGGGATTTTCCTTTCTCCCTCGCGGGGTTTGCCCGGGGCCCTGGAGGTGCCTGGGGAAGGAGAGCATATGTTAGAGTAGATCAGATTAGAAGCTGGTCCAATTTGAGGGCCTTGGTGCATGTGGATGTGTGGGAGCTCTGTGTCTGGCTCTGCCCGGAGCTAGAGGTATAGGGAAGATCTTTATCTTGCACCGTAGGCTGTGCCCAAATGCAGTGGAGGAGCAAGTGCTTCCCACCGCAGTGCAGCCAGCAGTGTGCACCCCCTCCCTCCTCGTGGGAGCGGGGGATCCCTCTCTGTCAAATCTGCACCAGCACTGAGCCCCTGACACCCTGGAGGGTTCCCTGGTGTTCCTGGGGCCTTCTCTTAAGCCAGCCTATGAAGATAGGCTCAAAATTGCAAATATGAATTTAGTGGTTTGGCTGGAATGCGTCAAGGAAGATACATGCCTTGTTACAGGAGGGAGAGGCAAACCTCCTTGTGCACTTTTTCTAGAGTCCTTTTCTAGAGTCCCCCCTCAAGTCCCTTTGTGGGGATGCAGAAAGAGCTCTGTGYGCTGAAAATCAGCGTGAATGACAAATAAGAAGTAATGAAAGTGAGGTTGGTAGGTGAGCGTGGTGGCTGCTGCCCTGCAGCAGTTTCTGTGCCAGTATTTCCTGCTCCCTCCAAGCCCCCTTTCTCCCTCCCTAATTCATTCTTAGCTTGGAATGTGGGACCTAGAGACTACAAGCTTAGGAAAATTAAAGCTACAACCCTTTTTATAACAGGGTTGGGGCAGGCACCTCTGGGTGTTTCTTTCTAAGGCCACGTAAAGGCGACTTCCTTCCACTTCTCAGACACAACCAGCCCTCCAGCTGGGTATCTAATCAGTAAGCAGGGCAGCCCATGTGGCAGGACTGATTAATACATCCCTCAGACACAGAGAGCAGTGTGTAGCAACATGCATTGCTCAGCACTTGCCCTTCTGCCAAAGACCTGAGGTGCTTTGTACGTGATGGATTCCTGTGGCCACCACTGCCAGTTCTCAAATTTTCCCTCTTTCCCTCTTTCCCCTTCTCCCCCATGTGAAAGACTTCTTGACAGCAGCAAAATGTCTCCATTACTATCACAATTTTCCAGCTATTCCTAGCTCCTCTTTCCCCATTTTTTTCCCATGTTGTCCTCCCTCAGGTGGTTTGAAACTTCTTTCATGTCAAGGTACAGTTTCTCCAAACTTAGGCAAATTTCCGACAAAAGTTAGTGCTGGATTTTTATTTTATTTTATTTTATTTTATTTTATTTTATTTTATTTTATTTTATTTTATTTTATTTTATTTTATTTTATTTTATTTTATTTTTTCCTATATAAGGACTTGCCACCTGTGAAACCAACCCCGGGATTTGTAGAGGGAGGGATAGCTCAGAGGTCAGAGTGCAAACCCTGAAGACTCAGGTTTGATTTTCCCTGCTGCAGATTTTGTGCATGGTCTAGGGCAGATCAGCCATAGGATCCAGGATCCTCAGCGGAAGGTGGGCACGTGAGGCTCTAGGTGCTGGGATTTTTGTACTTCCTATATCTATAGAGGCCATTGGGTGGTCTCAGATAGGAAGCCTGAAAGATTGGAAAGTGGCGATCATTGCATATGATAACCAGGGTCCTAAGGACTTTAAAAATAATGGAGAGGGATGTAGCTGATGATGAATTTGTAAACATTAAAGATACGGATTTCTCTTTTAGGTGCATTCCCTTCAAGCCACATTTGGGGAGTTTGAATCCCGGATGAAAATCTCTCAGCAGAAGCAAGAAGTTACTGAGAAGGCCGTTAAGGAAGGAGAGAGTGAAATCAACCGCATCAGTGAAGTGCTTCAGAAGCTGCAAAATGAGATCTTGAAGGACTTGTCTGATGGCATCCACATGGTGAAGGACGCAAGGGAGCGAGACTTCACATCCCTGGAAAACACAGTGGAAGAGAGACTAACGGAGCTGACCAAGTCAATAAATGATAACATCGCCGTATTCACTGAAGTCCAGCAAAGGAGTCAGGATGAAATCAACACTATGAAAGCAAAGGTTGATTCTCTAGAAGAGACAGATCTGTATAAGCATGAAATAAAGGTGCTGAAAGATGCTTTTGATGAGATGCAGACCTCCATGAAAACCAAAGAAAAGGACATAGAGGCCTTGAAAAGTACAATAGACTCCATGGAATCTGATGTGTATACTGAAGTGAAAGAGTTAGTCAACCTCAAACAAGAACATGAGAAATTCAAAGAGGCAGCAGACACTGAGCACCTTTCATTAAAAGCTTTACAAGAAAAAGTTCTTAGAGCTGAGGATTCGATTATGCAGCTCCCTGGTGACATTAAAAGGCTTGATGAAGATTTACTGCAAATTAAAGCGGACCTCCACAAATGGGAGGAAAATGAGCTCTTCAGAAAAGCATTAGAAGCTTTTGAAAAGAACGGCCAAGGACTAGAGTCTCGACTGAGTCGCATGGAAGAGAGCCTGGAGTCTCTCACTTCTGTTGCTGCTCAACATACTGAAAAGTTGCAGTCTTCCCTTTCTAAGGAAGCAGAATATGGAGAGAAGCTCAGAGCCTTAGAGCAAAGTGTTACCGCTCTTCAGGGAATCTCGGATATGGACGTAGCCGCAGTTACAGACGTCCTGAGAAACCTTGGTGAATCACAGACCTCACTGTACAATGACGTGGAGACCTTGAGGAGGAGCATCAGTGACCTGCCGTCCTCCGGTGCTCTTGAGGACGTCAAGAAACAAATCAGTACCTTGCTGGAGCAAGGAGATCTTCAGGCAGGCCAAGCACATTCTCAAGGCTATCTYGAAAAGTTTTCTTCTGTTGAAGGCTCTGTAGATGAACTAAGATCTTCTGTCAGCCAGGTTGATTCTGATTTGAAAATGATCAGGACTGCAGTGGATAGTTTAGTCTCCTACTCGGTGAAAATCGAAAATAACGAGAACAACCTGGAGTCTGTGAAGAGCTCAATAGATGACTTGAGGAATGATCTGGAAAGGTTGTTTGTGAAAGTAGAAAAAATACACGAGAAAGTGTAGGTAGCAGTGCTCCTTGTGCAAATACTGGATTAAAGAGAATAGCTTTTGTATGCCCATTTTTTTACTCTCCTTAAAAGCCATTTGATACCTCCCAGGAGAATAACCATACTTTAAACATAGAGACAGTTCTGCTTATTTCCTTTATTTCTCTTTTGTGTATTTTTTTTCCCAATTTGTTTTGTGAAAACAGGGGTTTAGCTGGGGCTTKAGTTTCTAAGGGCTCATCTTCTCTGGAAGGCTGCACCGTGTAGCTGCTGTGCTGTAACTAGGGCACTGCAGCCTCACTAGCACAGGCACATATTTCCTGGCATGAAGGTGTTTCACACGATGACACTAGGTATCCCACACAGGAGGGATAGGGCTGTTTTGGTATGAAAACCACCTTGCTGGACACACTCATGATTTGACTGGTGTGCTTGGATTAATAAAGAAAAAAAAAAAAAAAAAATGATAGCTAAAACCGTTAGAGCAGTGAACTTGAGCATGGGGCAGGCCAGAAGTCCTAAGTCAGACCATAAGGTCTACCACGTATCAGCCGAGCTGAACTACGTTTGTGTGTGTCCTTAACCTGTGCCAAGGAACTAAGAGGCAAGGGCATGGCAACCCGAGGGCAGCCTGAGGTAAGTGGCCTTGCTTGGGGCCCAGGCTGTGCCCAGGACACTTTCTGTGCCCAGCTGGCATGTGGGGAGTTGCTGAGCAGTAGGAGCTGGTTTGGCAGCTGTTTTACAGGGGGAAGAAAGGAGCAAGCGTTGCCCTCAAGAGCGACGGAGAGCAGAGGCACAGAGCAGCGCTGCTCCGCGCCGGTGCTGAGAGCCGGAGCACTGCGTGTCTGCAGAGGCTGGTGGTTCCTCCCCAACGTCTCTCGCTGCTGCTGCAGGTCGGTGCTGAGAAGGGACATCCGAGCTGAYGGATGGGGTTAGTTTCATCAGAGCACGGTAACATTTTGCCGTGTTCTTGGGCTGTTCACGTGATGCGGCTGCCTTTTTCCTGTAAAGTCCTAAATCCMCATCTATGGTACAAGACTTTCTGTAGAAACCATGACAAATTTGAAAGAGGAGAGAGAAGAACTGAGGTCACAAGCCTGGTCTTCCTTGTACAGCAAGCACAGCAATAAGCATAACGCACTCCAGAACACTAAAGGGGGGGAAATGGGGGTGAAATCGGCAGAATTGCTTCTAGGGAATGTGCATTTCTAAGTTCTTCCATAGTCRACAAACACCTGGATTACCGATTCAGGACTTGAGGCCTGACCCTTTGTCACTGGTGTCTTCAGGTGTCTGCCTGGGACACTGGAAGTAAAGCATCCCTCTTCTGACYGGTTGAGAATAAGTGTCTGATAGTCTAGATGATCATTTCCAAACCACTTCCTCATGGAGCTTTCTTGGTTTTGTGTCTTTTGCGGAAGGATTTCTAAAATCCCTCCTTTTAAGGTTTTGTATTGAATGTTATCCAAAGATTTGGGTATCTGCATACCCTCAAAATACTTTGGAAATAGTGGCCACTGATGGCTTGTAGAGTGCAGCGTGACCACCTCAGCCTGGGCTAGCCGGAGCTTTGGCCACATTAAAAAGGAATTCCTAGAAACAGCATCTCCAAAAGTGGTAAGTCTGGGAACAGCACAGGTCAAAACAAGTTCCCTTAACTAAGTAAGATACTCAACCATTCCCACTGTAAATAGGAAAGATTTGCTGACATAGYAAGAGGGACCCAGGCATTAGGATAACTTGGTTGACACTGACCGAACTGCACTRTTCTTTGTTGACTTCTCAAGTTTCTGAATAATGTTTAGGTTACTGTGAAAGGAACTGTATGGCTTATTTGCAGTATTTTTAATACTTAATAAACATTTGGAACATTCTTAGCACCTTGTCTTTGATTGCTGCTTGCTTAACCTGGTGCTTCCCAGAGCACTCCCAGTGGGATACTGGAAATGGCTTGGGGGATGTAAAGGAATTTTATATGGAGCAGGAAAATGGCCCATTATTTCTTCTCAACTCTCAAGGGAGCATAAAGGTAGTCTTACCTGTTGTGGATATGAAGAAACCCTTGAAAATAGCAGATGAGCCTGATCAATGCAGATCAAAGCAGATGAGCCTGCTGCCTGGAACACCCAGGAGCTCCCTGAGAACTGCTCCGAGGCAGGAAATGCAGGAGCTGACACAGCTCAACGAGTGTCGACTCAGGTGCCACCACCAAGGCTTCATAGTGCCATTTTTGCAATGCCCCAAACACTTAGAACAGAAATAATGTACTGAAAGTACCTACATGATCTTTCCAAAGTGGCTGCTCCTTTTGAATTGCTTTGAACACCAGATCTCCAGAGCCCTGAACTGGYAGTGTCTTCATGAAGGAAATGTGGCTGTCAGAAGCTTGGCAAAGGCTGATTTAATTCTCGATGCCCACACAGATGAACCCAAGTTTACCATACAAGTAGCTTTAGAATAATGAGAGCTGAATCCTATTTCCTCCGTACTGCTTCTTGTTGAAAAACAGGGAGTGTGGGCATCAAGTCCTGGAAGTACCTGAAGCCAAATTCCAGAGAAAGGGAATACCTCTTACCAGATTCCTTACACATGGGACAAAGCAGACAAGCACAGAAGCCCATCCATCTAGAAAAGCCACAGTATTTTCTGGTGGCAGGGAGCTGACCGTGACCATGACCATGARTGTGGAGCAGATTTTAAAGGTACTAGTCCTGTCACGAGGGAACTTGGACTCCCTGGTGAAGTGAGGCCGAGCTGTACCTCACAGATCAGGATAGGAAGCATTACGAGCTATGCCTCTAGTAATTAAAATTATCTGGCAAACTATATGGAAATTATTTATTTCACTAAATAAGTAACAGTAATTTCCCATAAATAACCCTGTGGCTGGAGGCAGGGACCGCTTGCAAGGACCTCTTGGCAGGCTTGAGGTTCTGCATTTACATTTGGTTCAGCAGCCTCTTGGAACCCAAATACCCCCCAATTCACCCGTAAATGCTCACAGAGCACATCAAGATCTAGTCCTGCTCTTCAGTGATGTTACTAAACTACAGAAAAAGTGGAGAAGGTCTCAACAAGTCACTGTCTCCTACTGGCATTCTTTGAGTCAGTAACTCAGCGGCTTGCGCTGCTCCTGTGACATCTCTGGACCTGGCCAGTTGATGGTTAAGTGCTCATTGAGTCAGTTCATTAATGTCAGTCTTCATTTTCATCTCTTGAAAATGAAGGAACTAGTAGACCAAGAAATTGTGTCTTGTTTATGCTTCAAAGGACTTGCCCAAATAACCACAGTAGCAACCCTTATGGATGGGGAGAAATCTTGTACCGTTGAAGACATTTCCCCAGCAGGACTCAGACCACTGTCTTGAGTGAAATGGCCTGTAACAGTAAAAAGAATTTCTGTTGGCATAAACGTGTATGTTAAGAGTTTTGGTCAACGTGTATTAGTGATTATTATTATTATTATTATTATTATTATTATTATTATTATTATTATTATTTTCTGTTCTATTTAATGTGACTCAGCCAGTAAAACTCTCTACTGCAGACAAACTGCAGGGAAATTGAACAGCTGCAGGCCAAGGCATTGGGACAGGAGCTACCAGCAGAAGGGCCCACACAGCGACCGGCACGAGCTGCGCTCTGCTCAGCAGGCTGAGCGGGAAGGACGACTCCGGAAGGATGAGCTGGAGATAAAGACCATCGGAAGCCAYGTTCTGTGAGAAAGGATCAAACAATTTGGCGCTTTTAGACTTTAGGAGAAAAAAAGACAATGAGGCCTGAGGAGAGGAAGGAAACAACAGTCTCTGAATATATAAGAATTCCAAGGCAGAAACCACTAATCTTTGCTGCGCGGCGAGTGGGAAGCCMGGCCAAGCGCGGGAGGCAGCTCAGCGGCCAGGCGGGCGCAGCGGCCGGAGGCCGGAGCGCCCATCTCCGCCCGCCTGGCCGCACACCCCGGCGGGGGCAGCGCGGGGCTCCCCAAAGCGCCGCTTCCCGCCGCGCTCCGCGGGCCGCCCTGCTCCCTCACACTCGCGCCGCGCCCTC